ACAAAAGAACAGAACTCATAATTTAATTCTTCAGTAACTGATTAATCAAATCAAAATGGCCGCAATTTGGAAAAGAAAAAAAATAAGAAGTCGACATGAGTTGTCTTTTCCAAATTGCAGATACTAATGTGTCAATTGGCTTTATTTTTGTCCGCAATTCGTACATAGCCTGACATTTACATGATGAAGATATAATAAAAATTATTTTACTATTATCATTTGATTCAATTATCTTTTTATTTGTCTTTCAAATATTGTCAATGGTTATGTTGAATCTGAATAAGACTTTATATGAACTTTTTTTTCGTTCCTCCACATTTTTATGGCATATAAGGAAAAAAAAAGTTTCAGCAATCGACTAAATGCGCCCTCCTTTCGTCTTTCATGCTGATTAAATTAGAGAAAAACTAATAAAGTTTTTTATCGCAACTTTTTCCACAATCGGAACTGAAAATGAACGATGACCACAATAATTTTGCAACTGAATAATACTCGGATGTTTTCTAATTCATGAAATTCAATTTTTCCTATTTTGACCAAGAATAATTTTAACTTAGAAAAAGAATGTAATTGTAATTGAAAAATTGTCAAAAACTCGCCAAATTAACGAACTTTTACACATTTTCTTGGTGACAAATAATGTCTGTGAAGTCATAATATCTGCATATAGGAGAGCTCGTCGAGTTCTATCTGGAGAGGTATGTCTCGTACTTGGAGTGCACTCATAGGTGAATCGCGACGGGTTTTTCTGAATTTTCCTGGTTTTTTTAGGCATTTTTTTAAAAGTATTTTGCATTTTTAGCGGAAGGGAGTGGTTGTGTTAGGGGGAAAACATATGGAGCTGATAGAGCTCATCGAGTTCTACTTGGAGTGCTGCTGATCTCAGTTTGAGTGCACTCCAGCGCGAATTCATTGAGGAAAATGTCGAATCCTGACCTAAGATATCCTACGTTAAAATCATTGTGGTTAGAAAACCCACTTCAACTTATGGTATCTATAAGGGGAGAAGCCCTTCGAACATCGAAACAAACTTACACTGGCTATTTTTGCATAGTGACTTTTACAGAAATCCAATTATTATTATTAGAATAAATATAATCATGTTAGCCATTTATGAGCTTGTACAACGATCTATTGGATGAGATCTGACTAAAACTCTAGAGACAGACATCGAGAAAGAGAAAGATTTACATTAAAATAGCGATAAGAAACGATGAATAGTCCAACATAGAATGATGAAAGAAAAGAATTAAATTGACAATTATGTGTAGTCTTGCAGCCATCAATTGACTGATGAATAGTTTTGGCATTTTTTCGTTTCACAAAACTTTCTTCTTACTATGCTAATAGCTTTGAATAAATCGAGTATGCAGCCAATAATTCCAATTAATTCGCTATGAAAGGCATTGTAGATAACTGAAGCTATTCGACATTAAAATGTCCTATTTTTGTGTAAGGTAAAAAAATGAATAGTATAAAATGCAACTTGTTCGAATAATGATTTTAGTTTACTTTCTGCAAACTATTGTTTTTATTTTTCTTCTGTTTTGTTTGTACTTTTTCTTTTGGGTTACTGTGCAGAAAACAAATCAGAACGTCGTTCAACACAATTATAACGTTCTCTGTCGATTGACTCTCATAATTGCTGCCGCAGAGTTGTTGCAGGGATTTGTTCAATACGATGAGTGAGAGTAGCTTTGCAAGGTGAAAAGACAAGAATACTTCAATATTTTTTGCAGTTAGAACAGATTCGATTATTAGTAGGCACTTTTCAAATTTTTTGATTATCGAAACTTAACCGAAATAATGCAATCTATTTCTCAATTAAATGATTGTACTTGTTCTTACAGACCTTTTCCTTATTACTTTGCTCAATGCATCAGATCATTGCGATTAATATTCAGTTTCATTCATTTCTCTCTAGAGTTGTCATCGCGTATCATCATTTGAAACTATCAGATTTATCAGAATAATGATACGTATAAAATTTGTTCTAGATTAAACCATGGATATTACGACACATCTCATTCTTATCGTGGCTCTCTTGATCAATGTCGTTCAATGTCCAGGTGCTGGTGGTGGGGGTGGTGGAGGAGGAGGAGGAGGAGGAGGAGGTGGTGGTAGCCGTGGAGGCAGTAAGTTAATCAGAAAAGTGAATGTTCTGAATAACGAAAGCATAAAAGCGACACTCACTCCCATTGTTTCCATCTTCACTTCATTCTAAAATTCATTTTTGTGTTCTATCGACATGCTTTGATTTAGGTGGTAGTAAAGAACCATGTACTACTCAAGAATGTGAAAGGAGACAAGCTATTGCTGGTGGACTTCTCATAACGATGCTATTGGGCATACTCATATATTATATTCGACGTGTGTATCTTTATTGTATACGTGGTCAACCATCATACGACAACATAGATTTCATCCATCAGGGTTCTCAAAATGATTACAACTATGAACAAGATCCTTTTGAGACAGGAGTTTGGTCTTTTCAATATTATCAATATGGGAAATGGCGAGGACCTTTTCGATTATCACTCACGTTCGATCGTCCATCAAGCACAGTGACTGGTCAAGGAATAGATGATGTTGGAAATTTTACTATCAATGGTATTTTCTCTTCTGAAACTCTTCGACTCGGTCTGTCACAGAAATACCAACTAGGAACAGGTAATCCAAGAGAGAATTTGGGTCACACATCAACTATTCAACTGAAGTGGAATTCGAAGAAAAATCGATTTGATGGTGCATGGTATGTTCGAGTCGAAAACTATCGTGGTGATGGAAAGTTTAAATTAAATCTGGAAGAAAGTTCAACACCATGGCTCAATTCGAATAGCGTATGCTGATAATGACCCTTAAAATTTCATAATTTCTTATTTTTGAATCTCATTTTATTTCATTAAATCGTCGAAATCCTAAATATTTTATTCATCTAACAAGCACGGTTCAGAGATTATTTGTTATCAGCAAAGACTATGTCTAGATGATACTTTGTTCCTAGGTGGAAACGGCGAATTTTTGGGATTTCGAATCCCTAAAAATCCAGTGAAAATCCCGGGTGTACAATGGAAACCTGGGAGTACGATGGGAATCCAGGGATTACGATGATAATTCCAAAAGCCTACTAGGAACATACATAGAAGACAACAAAGATATAAATCTGTGTCACACAAAACAATTATATTTTCATTTGCTTAGTGCTTTGAAATTAATTTCATAGAGAAAAACATGTTAATATGTTGAAAACATCAACCAGATAGATCCTGAATCAAGGTGTAGAAGTATTGTCGCAGTATATAAAAGAAATATTGAACAACGGATGCTTTTCCTTGTGCGGTTAGTAATATACTTGAACTTTGATATATTAAAAAAAAATAAAACAAAAATTCATATGAAAGAAGAGTTACAAGAGTTATATTCTTCAGGATGGTGAATATCAAACATCTTCGATGAATAGAAAGTGAGCACTGTATGATTTCATTTTTCGGGTATAATCTTATAGAAGAGCAGTAATCTCTCAACGACAACGTCTTCCAACAAGTCGAACATTTTAGACCGTAGTCTGAAAGGTATCGATATTTGTTTTAAACAAGTACGCCATAATTGATTCACCAAAGTACAGAAAAATAGTTTTCTTAAAAAACTATATAATACCGAGCTTTTCTATGTGAGTTCAGTAATAACACTGAACAATGTTCAACTCTGAAGATATTAGTATTGACACATATATATTATCTCAATACAAGACACGAATCAAGCCCAAGGGGGAAGAAGCGTAATTCTGTACTTCAGAAGTACCAAGAAGTGCACAGAAGTACGAGGAAGTACCAAGAGGTACGAAGAATTAGACAGAAATACTTGCAACTACAATTAAATCTATAAGTACATTAATGTGCTTAGAAGTTCGTGCATATTTATCTGTCAAGGAAAACCAAATTTGAAAAATAAAACAGAAGGGATTGTTATTAAATCTGTGACTTCCTTTGAATAACTCGAAAACGCCGATCATTAGAGAAAAGCATATATCTATTAGTTAACAAACAATTAGCCGATTGTTTATATATATGTTTTTGATGATCATTAAGTATCACTTTCTAGCAAGAACCTCGTGGACAGAGTTTTATTTCATCGCACAGAAGATGTGTCAAATTAGGGACCAAGCGTTTCAAGGAATTGAACCCTAATTTTATTAGCCTCAGAATCAGTATTGAACTCTGATAAGTTTCCACGAGTATATTTTGTATTTTATGACAAGTCAATTTTTCATATATGAGGTCCCTCAGGCATTGATATAAATTTTTCGCTATTCAATTAGAAGCTTTTAGACACCAATACAGCTAAGTATGCTAGTTGCAAATATGACATTTTTTTGAAAGTAGTAAGACAATAAGAAAGACGTGAACCATTCTCTGAAAGTGTCAAAAGAAATAGTTTTTGCCGTGAAAATACACTAAAAGCCGATTTAGATGCGTGGAGGGTGCGTTCACTGNTGTTATGATTCAGAACATCCATGGATTATTGTTACTATTGATAATATACATTCACATGTTAGATATATGATGTATCCAAAGAAGATTATTATTCTTGACATCATTAGTGGATGTTTATTAACAATATTATTCGTTATTCTTATCGTTCTTATTATTGTTTGCATAAAAGTACATTGTACTCAACGAAAAAATCTCGCCGCCGATTTTGCCTGAAAAAATAAAGCCGCCGCCGCCGTACCAAAGAAAATTTTAAAAATCTTTCAGCCGCCGCCGCTGAACTCTACACAGCACAGCCGCGCCGCCGCCGTTAGCAATGAAAATTTCTAAAAATATCAGCCGCCGCCGCCGCACGCCATCTAGAATGAAATGAAATTTTTTTTAATCCTATATTCCATTGACTGCATTTTCAACTGATCTTTTTTGTTGTTTATTTGATGAAATAATATTAAAAATGTTATGGATTTTTGTTTGATTTGATTTAAAATATATTTAGATCTTTCACCTGAAATGGATAATATTAATTATTTTCTCAAAAATCTGTTTATTCAAATAAAACCACCTAATACTTATAAACCATCATTTGTATGGAATTATTTTGGTCGATTGTACAAAAAACCAAATGAAGCAATAGATCTTGAAAAATTTTATTGTAAAATATGTTTTGATAAATTTAAAAGTGAAGAACCTGATACTGTTTTTTCTTCTGTTCAAAAAAAAATTGGAGTTTACAGTGCAACAAGTGCCACTGGGAATATGAAGAGTCATTTATTAGCAATTCATCGAATATCAGAACCCCAACAAACAAAAACAACCAGTCAACACATTCTTTCTATGTTTTCTCGAGATCATCATTCACAAAAAGCTTCTCAATTAAAACAGCAACTTGGACATCAATTAACATTAATGTGTTGTCGGGATTTGCTTGCATTTTCGATTGTTGAAAATGAAGGTATGGATATTTTTTTTTAGCAATCTAATATACATATATTAAGTTTATTTATGTTTAGGTTTTCAAGATTTTCTAATTTGTAACAAAATTGTTAATTCAAAAGAAGATATTCCTTCAAGAACAATCTTATCTCCTATTAATTTAAATAAAATATATGATGTATGTGTTGAAAGAACAAATGAACAATTAAAATCGGCATCACCATTTCCAACAATAACATGTGACATTTGGTGTGACAAATATAAACATCGTTCTTATATTTGTTTTACAATTCATTATCTTGATTCAAATTTACATTTGCACAAATATAGTTTAAAAACACAACCATTTGATGGACGACATACTGGAGAAGCTATAAAAGATCGTTTTTTAATTGTTTTAAATGAATTCAATTTAAGTTCAAATAATATAATTGTTGTAAGTAAAACATACATAGAATTTTTCTAAATTATTTTATTTCATTGAATTTTTTTAAACAGATATCTGATAAAGGTTCAAACATGCGTAAAGCATGGAAATTATTGAAAATAATTCATATGTTTTGTATTGGACATGGAATCCACAATTTATTAATGGTTGATTGTTTTCCTCGTTTAACTGGTGTTCCAGATTTATTAGATAAAGTACAGAAGATAATCAATAAACTTCGTTATCGTCAACATGAACTTGAACAAGAATTTATTCGAATACATGATCAAATAAAAAATGATTTATTTGAAGTAATAAATAAGGCTGGTGAAGTATTAGATGCTGATTTAGCATTATCATATGATGATATAGAAGATGTTGATCAATTGGACACCGAAAAAGAGAATTATGAATTAGAATTATATTCAATCAATGATCAACGTTCATCAAAATTTGATTATTTAAAAAAAACAAATACAACTGCTAATAATTCTTATGAGTTTCATACTTTGAAAAAACGTGTTGTAACTCGCTGGAATACAATTTTGACCATGCTTCGTTCATATGAATCCAATATACCTGGTATTGAAATTATATTACGTCGTTTAAAATTATTTGATTTGATTTTAACTCCCACTGAAAATGTAATTGTTCGTGATTTAGTTGATTTTCTTAGTTCATTTGAAACAACCACAACTATTCTTTCAGCATCCAAGTCTTATCCAACAATGAGCTTATGTTTATTACTACGTATTGTAAGTATCAAATATTTAGATTGGAATAGTGCTGAATGAGAATTAGCTGAGAATTTTTGAGATCACAGTATAAAAAAATATTGATAACAATCCTATGTATTTTCTTTTGTAAAATAAAAAAAATTATTTTAAAATATAACATTTATGAAGAAATTTAGCTTATTTAATATTTATATACATTTAATTGATTTTTTATTTCAGGAAATTGAATCAATGTTGCATTCAACAGGAACAGAATCATCAGTAATTGAAGAATTGAAACATTTACTTTCCGAATATTTAGATACAAGATTTCCAATAACACCATTAAATATATGTGGTTTTTTACTTGATCCATCACAATTAAAAATTGATATTAATCCTTATTTAACTCAAAATAAAACAACAAAAGAAAAACTTTTGTTGGATATGATTAAAAAATTTAAAATTGATCCTGCTTCACATGCAAATACAATACAAAATATCCATACATCATCAATATCTTCATCTGCAACTACATCAGAAACATCATCTCCTCGTATGAAACGTAACTTATCGGTGGAATATATGTGTGAATCTGCACATAATATGAAGAAACTTAGGGATAATTTAATCCAAAAACATACACCATTACCTATAATCAGTCTTGATCCTATTGTTGCTGAAATTGACAGTTATATGAAGTTAGATGTTGTTTGTGTTGATGTTCTTGAATTTTGGAGATCATCTGGTGATAAATTCTATCATTTAAAAAGACTTGCTCAAATTATTTTGGGAATACCAGTAACATCTACACCTAGTGAAGAAGTCTTTTCTACCACGGGATTAATTTTAAATGCGAAACGAACAGCATTAGCACCGGAAAATGTTGGTAAAATACAAATGATTCACGACAACTATGAATTACTTAAAAAAAATTAATATATTTTTTTTGTTTTTTTATCATTATTACGTTTTCGTGAATATGTGATTGTCAGTATATTATTAACATTTACTTTTTTGTATGAGTTGTTTTATGTATGTAAATTTCTCTTTTTTGAAGATATTGAAATTCAGATATTGAAATAAATGAACAGATAGTGCCTATTTTCTAAAAAATTAATTATTTAATTTCTAGGCGCCGCCGCCGCCGCGAGCAAAAAAAATTCAACTTTTACAGCCGCCGCCGCTGAACAAGGCACAGACTCGAATAAGCCGCCGCTGAACTTTAAAAAATTTTTTAAATTACGAGCCGCCGCCGCCGATCAACTGCTCGGCTTACATCTCTACATATGATTCTCGTTATTATCGTACACTTCCAAATCCAGGTCGTGCTCCACAATCATTTTCGTCGGATAGAAATTTTCAATCTTCATCAAATTCAACACCATCATCACAGTCAAATAAACCTTCACGTACAAAGGATATTCAATGTTA